CATTGCCACTGCTCAGACAAGAAAACCAAGTCTGGTGTGAGGCCACTGTCCTGAGTCAGGTTGCGAATAATTTGGGACAGGCCCATGGCTGCCATGGTAGCCATGAACTCCTGGGCTGCCTCCGAGGCACATCCCAGGGACGGCAGATTAAAGTCCCCCAGAACCATAAGTCTGGGGAACTCCATCGCTAGCCCCGAGACTGCCTCCAGCAGCTCAGGCAGGGAGGTTGGCTGGGGTCTTTAGGGAGATACTGAGACAATAGAGGGAAAAACACATCTCCTTGACTGACTGAATCTGCAACTGGATTGCTAGCCCTTGACTGGCAGTCCCAACCTGCCTATCATCACAATAACTGACATCAGGGTTTATGGCTGAAGAATGGGGGCTGGGGAATTTTGAGAGGTGAAGTCCACACATATTAAAGTTGCCAAGTTTGAAAAACACTGACCTATACCATTTGAAATGTTAAGGTGCAGATAAGAAAGAAATAGCAAAGATAAACAACAATTCAGAGAAATACATATATATTCTTAAGGAGAAATATAATACTCGTTATATAAAAAAAAATTCTATCTGGAAAGACTCTAGTACTCTCTTAGCTAGAGATGCTTACTGGGTGACTTTCAGTCAGTCACTCTTTTAACCCAACCTGCTCACAGGGGTTGTTGTGGAGAAAAAAATTGTATAGGCTGCCTTGAGCTCCTGAATGAAAGGTGGAATATAAATCTAATAAATCTATCAATTTAGCTTTATTGAATGACCCCAGGTTCTATCATTCTGAGAGACAGTTCACTCTCTAATGACTTTATCCATACCATGCTGATTATTACTGTACTTTTCTATTATGTCCCACTTGCCTATTCTTTTGTAGGTTAAAAAGTCAAATGTTCTTGTATCTCTGTAAATCTAATTTAGATCTGGATGGCTATTGCTACAAGCAATAAGTAGAAATAAGTTCAGCTAAGAAGGTAAAGCTGTGTTGTCAGCTCATAACTGGGAATGTCTTGGGACTTAATGGCTCTTGGGTGGAGGAGAAGGTGGCTGGAAGGTTTAATAGGAAGCTTCATAAGAATAAATTCTATAGGAGCTGGAAGAGATTCTGCCTGGCAAGGTGGGGTGGTGGTGGTGGAATTCAGCTCTTCAACTCAGGACTGACTCCAGTGTTATAACTAGGCTTACATATAATTGCCAACAGCACAATACAGAATGGACAATAAGGAGAATGATCCTGGGCCCTGCCATTAATAAACATCTGAAGGGCCACATGTTGTACATACAGTACATGTTAAGGTCCAGGGTCTTCTTCAGGGTGTCAAAAAATCAAGATTGGCCATGGGTGTGCATCAAAACCCAGTACCATTTTTATGTGCTTCCTAACCAAATGGGCCAGGTGACACTTGTACACTTTTCTGCCTTTGCTCCCCACCTCTCAGGGTAGGGTTCTCTCCTGAGGAAAAAAAAGTTTGCACTTTTGTCTAACTGCATTAAAAGGTTGGCTGTAGTATCTTGCTTCAGATATCCAGAATTTGAAATTGGAGATTTTCTCAGCTCTTCCAGGAGATGCCAGGAATGGAATGTGGGGCTGCCTACCAACAGGGCCTTGCAGCTATTCCATTCCACGTGGAACCCTTCCAAGTACAGAGGCCTCTGCTCTTACCCCACAGGGGCTGGCCTAACACTTACAAAACAAGCTTCATAAAGGACAATCAAAGAAATGTTGGTGGGATATTTTTCATTAGCACAGTGCTATGGTTTGCACGGCAGGAGTTGCTACATTGCTACATCTTCAAATTCTAACGAAACTGGCAGTTATATTTCATCACAGTATTTTGATGTTTTCCTTTTATTCCTCTATTTGGTTTTATGGGGCAATCTAAGTAATCCAAAGGAGGGAAGAAGTGCACGTCAAGGAGGGGTGTCCATGTTTCTCAAGAATGCTTGAGAGAGCAGGATAAAAGAAGGGACTGCTGCATCTGCTTCCAGTGGGTAAAGTAGCACCTTTTCACAAACCCATGGAAATAGACTGGCTTTCTTTCTTACATGGAGTGTGCAGTGAGTATTTTATTTATTCAGTAGATTTTTATCTTGCCTTTCTTCCAGGAGCTCAAGGAGATATTCACAATTCTCCCTCTTCAATTTCTTCTTGCCGGCCCAAGGACTTCCATGACAAAAATGTGATGGAGTCTCCTAAGTCTTAATATTTAACCACTACCCCATAATGACCAACTGTATGATCCTTCCTTCCTTCCTTCCTTCCTTCCTTCCTTCCTTCCTTCCTTCCTTCCTTCCTCTTTCCTGAGCACCTCTCTATCCTGGAAAGTGACTGAGAAAAGGCTGAAAGTTAGGTGGGGCTCCTTCTTTCTTGCCTTTATCAAGAGAAAGTGGAGGTATTTGTGGAAAAGGATGATCCAATTAAAATTCTCATTAATTCTGAGAACCTATAAACAATGTAGAGTCTAACCCTAACGTTTACATTAAAGCTTTCTGTTTGCCCTATAATTACATCCTATACTTTCTTCAAAATTTAGAACTCCTAAACTTCACAATTGGTTTTAAAAGGGCTCCATCTTACTTTAAAAGCATTGGAATACATTACATCAGTACTTTTGGGTGAACATGTATTTTCTCTCTCACATTTGTGAAGATGCTCTGTGACAAGGTCACACGATTCTTCTGAAGGCAGCTTTAGCTCTCTTTGTTTTGCATGCTCTCCCCTCTCTCAAAATGGTTGTACATCTTTTAATCATGTGTAAGCAGGTGGCCAGGTTAATGGGCCATCCACCAGCCCTTGTGATGGAATGGAATTATGAAGGCCAAGCTCAGGGAGATAAGCATTTTCTTAGCTCACCGGAACTGCGTGGGAGGAACAAAAGGATGAGACTGGAACCTCCCTGAGGAATTCACACTGTTGTGGCTGGAGGACTTTGGGAACTGGGGTTTTAGCCTGGGGAGATTCTTGCTAGAGGTTGTAGCTAATAAACATAGCTGGACTGAATTTACATGGTCTCTTGGAGTTCCTTGGGCTAGGCCTGACAGCCCTTGAGTGAACAAAAGGATGAGACTGGAACCTCCCTGAGGAATTCACACTGTTGTGGCTGGAGGACTTTGGGAACTGGGGTTTTAGCCTGGGGAGATTCTTGCTAGAGGTTGTAGCTAATAAACATAGCTGGACTGAATTTACATGGTCTCTTGGAGTTCCTTGGGCTAGGCCTGACAGCCCTTGAGTCATAAGTACTCTGATGACATAAAATTGCCCTGATTCTGCCTCCGTAATGGCTGGCAAATAAAGCTTTAATGGGGCACAGTTTAAAGAAAACGTTGATGGATTCCCCTGGCTTTGTTTTTTCTCCCTCTGAGTATGTGCTGTTGATTGAAGCACCAGCACCAATTGTTCTCCCTGACATGGGTTGGAGTTAGGGGAGAAAAGGAGTTTTTACTGATATCTAGATCTGTGGGTTTAGCCACCTGTCAAAATCTGATATATAGACTGCAGATCTGTGGCATGGGGTTGGTCTGCCTATCAATAAAGCCAGAAATGCTTTCCTGATTTGCTGGACAGCTTACCCCAACTCTGCTGATCAAGCACTGGGCTTGCACACTGCCCAGTAATACAGGAGATCCATTCATTTTTTGTATATTTATATCCTATATTTCCTTCAAAGGAATTTCATGTACTTTCCAAATGGTTCTGGCTTATTTTGAAAGCATGTGAATGGACTGTATTACAACGTACATTCAGGTTAACATGTATTATCCCAATGACATTTTTGCATCAGGTTCTATTCAATGCAACCTTCTCCATTTCACATGCTTTTTTCTTCCAACACATTTATAGAATTTGCTAAGAAAATTAGCCCTTTTCTCCCACACAGAGGAAAGTAATTTTGTAAATCCTTCACTGCACAAATGTAGAACTTGACATTTACCAATTGTAGACTACAACTCCCAGAATCTTTTGTTAGTAGACACCCAGCCTGCAATTTGATAAAGTTGTGGCCTCTTTGTGCTTTATTGCAAAAGGAAGACTTCAAGCAAAATTATAGTTCAATTACAGCACAGCAAAAGAAGAACTGAATGTCAGAGAGAAAGTGACTTGGTTGGATCAGTGAGGGAAGGAGACACAAGCTCTAAGCAACTAATTATTCCCTTAGTAACTCATTCAGCTATTTTTATCCAGATATATTTATTTTCATAATATCTTGGTATCTGTTTTGTCAGATTTCCATACAATGGCGAGGCTTCAGCCTTTTCTGTCTGGCCTTCTTGCTCTGTATGAAGAGTGGGAATTTCTTCATGGACAAAAAAAACGTGTCAGCAATCATTGACTACATCAGATGGTAATCTGGAAGCTATCCTTGGGTTTTTCTATGTATCTGAGAAACTTAATCAACACACAGTTCTACTTAAGGGCATGGAAACTCCTTGCTTCTACTGATCCCGCCCCTCCCCCCCCGAGCCTTCCTTTTTGAAGTTGAGAATAATAGAATAATTCTCCTTAGATTTTCCCAGAGTTTGGTAAAATTGCCTATCCCATCCCATCCCTAGAAGGCTTCCTTGACTTCCAGACTAAAAAAAAAACGCTATTCCCTCTGGGCCACTGAGCCAGTGCCCACACTTATTAATTCCCCGGCTACAGCATCAGAAGAAAGGATGAGGACAATAAAAACCCAAATCCTCTCTGCTCCTTCCATTTGCTGCATGAATAAACTATCTGCTTTTAACAGCTGAGGCACAAATTGGGAAGAGCTCTAGGCAGCAGAGGTGGAGCTAGAGTTCAGAAAGTTTGCATACCGAAATGAATATATGTGTGTTTAAAGCATCCCATATATGACTCTGTAGCAGGGATGGAGAGCCTCTGATGCAGGATGTCAGCCTATCCAGCTCATAGACCCCCCTCCCTATGGTTTGTCCAGCATGTATCTTCTGAAAAGACAGTGAGTTGCAGGACAAAACACATTAAAGGATGTCTTAGGTTCCCTCTGCCACCAAGCTCCTATCTGCTTTTTTCCAGGCAGAAGGATGTGGGAGCAAGAAATGGATGTCACTGGGAAGAGGCCTTTCCTTCCCTTCAGATTTATTAAGACCATCTGTTCTGGTAGAGTCGGTGGAGAGCGCCTGAGCTTGGATCCAGTTTGTCATCCCTGCTCTGTAACTAATACTCTTATCTCAAACATACTGGTGCTCAAAGGAATTAGCAAAACTTTTAGGCAATCAAAGAACAATGGAAAAGGAAGAGAAAAAGAAAGAAAGAAAAATAGATTTGCAACCATGTGCATGTTTTTTATACAGCAACATAACTAATTCCCATTTTTTCTCCTCTACCTTCTAACTAGCTATGGCATTGAAACTCATTATGCTGTGGTGATCAGACTGGATCCAACATACTGCAAAAATCCAACCTGGAAAAATATGATGAACAATTTGCCAAGTTCTGTGATGTCTGCCATGAGCCTCAGACTTAACCAGAAAGAAGGCATCTATAACCCGAGCCCCCCAGTAAATATTGTTGCAGCCAGGCCCAAATTTAAACCCAGAGAACATGCTGAGTTCCGCTTGTTGACAGGAGGCCAAAACAGTCCAGTAGAAAAGATGCTAGCCCACAAGGATAAGAACAGTTGCTTGATCTTCTTCAGCAAATTATCTCCCTGTCTACAATTGTGTCTCAACCAGACAGAGATGAATAATATTGTCAATTTGGTGAATCCTCTTTTTAACAGGTACAACCGTGATTCCCGGGCATTTGTTTTTGAAACCATTTATGAGCCTGATGCGCAGAAAGGGACTGAAATTGTGCTTGAGGCCTGGAAACTCATAAAGGATGCCCCTTTATTCCGGTACCCTCGAAATGCTGCTCTATGTTTTGATAACAACAATCAGCCTTCGAACAAGAGCCCTTGCTGGGACGATTAGTGAGAGAATGAGCATGGAGGGATGTTGCTATGATATAGGATGGTTGTCAACTGATATCCCAATCATATATTTTTTGGAAATAAGGCAGTTTCCCAACTCCCTAGTGCTTCTTTGGGGAAAATCCAGCTGATTTAGCCTTTGTGGTTGATGGATCCTTGCTACTCCAAGCGCATCTCTCCAAAAATTGCAGAAGAAAACGGTAATCACAGCTAAGAGTGTATCCGTTTTTTGGGGGGGGGGGTCAAGGGTATATAATATCTGCCTTCCATAAGTGCATTAGATTCCACCAGAGTGCATACTAGAAATGGTTTTGGCATTATTTACTCTACTGTTAAATCAATAAATATTTAGAACGTCCTGTCCTTTGGCAGCTTCCTGGGTTTATTCATGCTATGCTCACTGGTTCCTAAAGTTGAGAGATCTTGACTAGAGACTTGTAAAGCACTGTAGTGCCTGCTATCACTCACATTAGAACAATACAATCAGCACTTAAATTTTCCTGTGCCCATGCTTGACTAAAAGTACAATCTAATTCAGGGGGCACAGAGGATGCAAAACTGGCAATCCAGGGAAGGGACTAAAACTCCTAGGAGTAGGGAGCAATCTCTTGATCTGAAAAAGCAGCTGAACTTGGGATTTTGCAGAGCTAACTTCAGGATAACTTGGCCTCAGAAATAATGCATTGGGTTATACCACTGGTTTTATGAAAAGCCAGATTAAAATGAGATTAAGTAGTTTGTGATGCAGCAGTGAATCCTATTCAGATATTACTTCAATATCTTCTCCTCAATATGTGAAGAGCCACAAGTAGCCTTCTCCTCTGTGAGTTGTGCTGGGACATGGTGTCTGCAGCAGAGGACCTTCATGGATACACACACAAATGCTTTCATGAAAGCCAAAACTTTCTGTTTTTAGGAAGGATTCCACCCAATAGAACTATTCAAGAGTTACACATGAATTGATGTCAGATAATTCAGTTATTGCCTTAGAAAGTTCTGGTAAATGAGCACCCAGCTTAAGCCATAATATGAATTCCTTGCATGGGGGTGGGGGGGGGGCATGACTTGATATGAACAGCAGTACTAGAGTGTAACACTGCCTGTAATGCTGAACTTAAGTGGTAACTTGCCACAAGACCCAAGCCAGTGACACGCCCATCACATAGCAACAGGTATTGCAGAATTGTCTTTTCCTATTGCAGCCAGAAAGCATGGACAACATATCACTGGTTGAAATCATTAACACCACCTGGGATGTAAAATGGATCAAAGCACTTGGTGGAAATGGTAATCTCTCTTCCCTGGGGCTACAAGTCTTATAAAGTTAATAGGAAAGATCCATGAAAATGGTCCACACAGAATACTGGAATGTTCTTGCTTGGAGCCTTTTCTACCTGTTCCTATTGAAACAAATGCTTCCAGTGTGATGCCTAATGCTCTTGCAATAAGCCTCTGCTTTCCCATTTTCCTTTTTATCATGAGGCTGAAGCTGTAAAGTAAAGCTGTAAAGTAAATCAGTCTAATGTTTAGATTTTTCCAATTGATTCATTTTTTAAAAAAATTAAACAAAAACAGCAGGTTCTTCAAGGTGGGTGTTAAACAAAGGAACATTTTTTCACACTATGATAAAGAACTGGAAGAATTAATGCAGAAACCTGGATAGTATTTTTAAAGATACCAAAATAAGTGTAAGATAAAAATAATAGAACAGCATCGATTTATTTTTTTAAAGCATGGTTCATCTTTAATATTAATTTCCAAGCCAAAATACAATAGTTTCTATCATTTCTATTTAAGAG